AGTAGTGTTTATGATTTCAGTATCAAGTGACACCGCCTTAATGTCGTGTGAATCCACCGTGAACACAAATTAATCGACTGAGAATTTGATGGAACCCATTGATATGATCGTACTTGGAACGCTGCAGTGCTACTGGTGCTTTAGCCGTCATACGTTACCTACTATATCCAGCCTATTCCTACTCCAATGCGTACGAAGTGAGCTGATATCATTATTATTCAGCACGTTCACTATAGATTAGCAAGCGATAATTCGGGTTTGGTTGGGGTGAGGAACTGGACATGAAAGTCTCAACCTCAGTTGCTTTGTCAGGTATACAGGGACCCCATCAGTTGCGGTGGATGGATCCATAAGCTGACCAGATGTTTGAGAATAGGAAAGGGCATGAACCAGTGCGTTGGTAGCTACAGTCAGGCCATTCAATGCCGTATGCATCGAGGCTCCAATGAGGCCAATCTTTGACCACGAATGGTAATGCATATGTAGTTTGAAATTTCCGCTGAATGCACTTTATTTGAACAACTGTAGATCACCGCTACTAGTGTCGATAAAAGTCAGTTAAAACTTAAGGCACTTTATCCATTCCGGGTATGCGTACACCGGAGCAGATGAGGGCGATCGAAAGTTGTTATGGGGCTAACCTCTTTTCCTTCTGCTGACTGATCTGATGGAGCCCCACATGTGGAATGCAACACAGAAGCCGTTGAAGTTGCCGTACTCGGTTCTTCGGTTTGATCAAAATGGGCCACGCGAAACACTCTCAAATATTCGTCCACAGCCGATTTGTGTTCTTCTTTATCTGCCGATAAATTCGAGCGATCCAGAAGACGTTCGATGGCAGCGGTATCATATACGATCCGTTTTGAGTCATCGTTGCCTAGATGTAGTGAAAAGTGAAATATCAAAAGTGGAGTCGATTCGGGACAAAAAATTGGCAAGTTTATTGTTTTACTGGATTAGGTCATAATATTGATCGTTTGTGATAAGTCCTAACGGACAAAAAGACTGTCTGGACTCCAGCATTTGGTGAGCTGAAAACCAGGAGATGACTAAACTCATGTAACCACTATTTTAAAGTAACAGCATAGCGTAAAATACAAAACAGTTGAGTTCTTCTATGGACTCAAAGTTAGTAACGTAACGCGATCACAAACATGCGAACCTTGACGTTCGAGTCATGCTTGAAATTACAGCTTGCACAACTATTAGCTTCGCGTGTTCGTTCACCGGTTCCGGTTGCTGTCTTCAGGGTCCCTTTTTGGTCGACCAATCACGAAAAAGCTAACGAAACAGTTCAAAAGCTGAGAGTACTGTTCTTTGTCAAATCGTTTTAATTTCTAAGATTGTTGTGTAAAAATATTTCAGTGAAATGAGTCCTTTCGAAAGGGAATCGGAAGCCGTCAAGGGATAACTATGAGCTTGGAACCACAAATTTGACAGGAGGAACAACACGGCATTCGAAGGGCTCCGCAAAAACGTATTACTTACGAACAACAAATCCAAAAGGAACAACGCGTGGGCATACTACCGATCGGATACAGTTTAAACTACCTACGTCCTAAGTATAACAACCCACGATATTTGTCCATCTCCATTCCACCATGCGTGTGATTGGCTATAGAAAACGATCACGCATCTGCAAAACAGGTTTTCTCCAAAGGTACGATGGTTAATGCAACAGAAAGTTCTACAGTAATATTTTGGCAAAGAAATCAAGAAAATATTTCGACGGATACCCCACAACCCTAATTTTTGAGCTCAACATCCACTTAAAAAATTCTTGAACCATTTCACTCAATGGTGAACAAAACATATACTTTTCATTCTATGCGTTCGTACCACAATCACGTGCAGCTTTGAACAACTCAGATTCGTCCAACGGATCGTCCAGCGCAAACAAGGCTTCCACTCCACAACGTAATAATTCGTTCATTTCACCTCGAGACAATCTATTCCCCGTGGGAGCTGAAACTGTTGAGAAAGTGGTTGCTGCTGCCGTGGGTTTATTGTTGCCTTCTTCCAAGACGTGATTCAACGGTTCCGAATCCCCGAGACTGATGGATTCACTTTCGATCCCCGCTGTTATCGAGTTTTTCGTTTCCGATTGTCGCTGTCGTAGTTCCTCCCGATTATGTTTTCTCTGTTCCTGCTGGTCTACCACGAGATGTGTCAGAGCTAATTTTCTTCTGGCAACCGCGTAAACTCGTTCCTCCATAGTATTTCTTGTGACAAACCTGTACACGACTACGTGACGGGATTGACCAATACGATGCGCCCGGGACAACGCTTGCAAATCACACTGAGGATTCCAGTCCGAATCAAAAAGAATCACCTGAAATTACAAGACAAAAAAAATAACGAGGAAAAAGCAACAGAAAATATTCATGAAAAAACAGTTATTGATTCACTACTTTACATTTTCATCGTGCGAAAAATTTGTTTGACCTCCATCTTACTCTGTTTTGTATCTCATACCCCTCATCTTCTTTATTATTGTTTTTGGGTTAGCACCATGCTTGTTCTCAAGCCAATGATATATATATNTGGGAAAGCTACTCCAACCGCTGTGGTGCTGTGTGCGAACAATTGTTCTTCCTTCTTCAGTGTTTACGCAATAATACTTTCCCAGAAAGCACTAAATGCAACCCCCCAGTGTCATCAAGCCGGGCGCGAATGATTGCCAACTCTTATTGCAAGAGAATGCACCGTGAACTTATCAACGACGCTCACCGCAGAAAACAAGACTACGAAAACAAATGCAATCATTTCAAAACCG